GCCTATTTAGACAGGAGGGATGACAGTAGCATTTCCATCCTCCAGACAGGATCGTTGCTACTGCAAGCTGCATTTTATTCTCACCTGCCCACAGAAAGATGCATATTGTGAGGTGTTGCCAGGGCCATTGGGAGGGCTGTGTGAGCCACTGCTCCCTCTGATTGTCCACACATCTGCACGTCAAGATGTGTTTCTGCACTATGTGTAAGGCAGACTTTCAAGAGTAAGAGGTAAGCAGTACTACTTTGCATTTGGGGTGTCCCTGGAGAGGACAAGGGAATGCAGTACATCAGGAAGAAGTTGTTCAGTGAGCAGTGTGCCATCCCTGCACTGCTTCTCAGTGCTACTTGAGCACTGTTGTGGAGCACACAGCTCCTTCTGGATCAGCAAGAAGTTGCAGTGCTCACTCTTCAGCACGAGCTGCGAGGCAGCCTGAGCAGCACGGCAGCCCTGCCTGCTGATGAATTAACACTCAGCTTAAGGATTGAGACAGCTTTGCTCAGGGTGGTAGTTACAACATCTTGTACACCTTCTAATCAAATACAATTGTTACAGGGGGATTTCTGGGCACACACAACACTGAGGTACAGCCAGTGCAGAAAAGTATGTGCTATTGAGACTAGAATCCATGCTGGCGCAGACTTTGCAAATTCAGACTATCTGATCTGATTTAAGTGCATTGATTTTTCCATTTTCTATTTCAAAGCATATGCTACAAGTAAAAAGGTTTATGACATTTTGAGGCATGCTGTATTGCTTTGTGATGTTTGTGTAATTTGTGTGCAGTCAAAGGTAAATAACATGATGAAGTAATCAGATGAAAAGTGGGCTTTCATGCTAGCTGAGCATCTCAAAGACAGTCACTCTAAAAGGGCTTTGCAAATGCCTCACACTGTCACAATCTAGCAAAGACTAAATGGACTTGATTGCTTTTAATCTTTCCTCTAAAATGGTTAAATACTACCAACAGATTATTATTTTTCTTCTCAGAATGGAAAAACTCTGTCCAGGAGGAATTATTGCCTCTTCAATTTGTGATTTCAGCAAAGCTGTGTCATCATTTGTCTTTCTGATAAAAGGCACTTGGGATCTCCAGGTTTCTTCCAAGTGCTCCAAAGCCATCATTCTCATTCATGGTGCCCTGAGCACGTCCTCTCTGGCCAAGAGGAGGGAGGATGTATGTACTTAGAAAAACACTACTTAGAAAAAGGCAAAAGCAAAACCCCTGACCGCTCCACTGAAAGCCATGAGAGTATGACTGCATCCCAAAAATGCCGAGGAACAGTCCTTCCTTACTCTGTAGCAGTGGGGGAAAAAAATGTTTGTAAGAGGTCTATTGTCCTGTGTTGTTCAAGACAAAATGACCAAACCTATTCTTGAATTTAAATTCTTGTCATTGTTTCTCAGAATTCATGTTTAATTAATGAGACCCGAGGTCTGAGAAAGCTGCAATCCTCACGACATTCTACCAGCAACACTGGAACAATGGGACCGAGAATCTCATTTAAGATCCCCAGCCAACCAAATGTTTTCAATAAGGACTGAATTTTCTGGGCTTATGTCCTGAATGCTTATGGATCAGGTTCACATATGATTCTTTCTCATGGGAGAGGACTGTTTTTCTAGTTTGTTCAACTGCATTTCTTATTCCTGCTATCCATCTCTTAATGTCTCTATCACAAACACATATGAGAACTAAAAGAGTTACTAACTGGCCAGGACAGTCTGTTTTACTGCAACTAGTTATGGAGACTTCCCTCAAGACCAATTGCTTGCATACTTTTACTTAAAACTGATGAAATAATTAAAACAAATCCCGTGTGTGCCTGCAATACAATTCTGGTTGCAGCAGTATTAAACAGTTCTCTGTAACAGGTTTGTTTGTCTTTTTATTAAGGTGTGAAATGCAATTTAGAAGACCTACATTAATAAGAACAGATTTATGCAGAACATCTCATCAATACACATGCAGGTACAGCTTGGTTGTCTTTGCCCTCTCTTTTACTCTGAGTTGAAGCTCCACTGGTGCCCTTGTGTTGCATTCCAGTAACAAGTGTGGAGATGGAAAAGCACAGTGCAGGTGTGGTTGTGACTTGGGAGCACATCTGGGTGAGGCTTCAGTGCCAGGCTCTGGCTTCACAAGCTGAGGTTTGACATCCAGGTTTCTCCTCCAGCCTGCACATCTAGATCACCAACTTCATTGCTTGCGGGACACACACTAGCTTTTCAAAATGTACTGCTTGGGTAGCTGGAGATGCACAGGATTTATAGGGAGCTTTCAACTTTATTTATGACAAAACAAACCTTCACTGTGAAGTATGAATAACACAGGGCTGCCATGCTATGCATCCTGCAAATGCATTTATGTGCTCCTGCTCTGCTCTCTCTCACTGGTGCTGTCTCTCATTTTCAGCCTGTAGCTTTAATAATCTATGCCACCTCCTTCTGTACAATATTCCTCCTGCAGCTTTCATTTGACAGCTCTGTTTTTAATAGAGGATAAGCATGAAACTCTAGCTGAATCTGAAGACATATTTCTAATCTCATACAGCATTTATTTTGCTTCTCAGAGAGCTTGCTATCTTGAAGAAAGGAAAAAGTATTTTTCACATATTGAGATGTACAATAGGTTTTCCAAAGGTATCATTAATTCAAACTCCAACTCAAAGTTACCTTGTAATAAGAAGACAAACGCATAAATGCTGTTACCCAGATAATAGGCTTGATTCAATTATTTATCATGGTGACTGCTGTAACTTGCCAGTCCCATTCAGGGAAGAGTCCCATTTTGTTTGGTACTGAATGGAAGTGTCATAACAACAACATGCCTGCCTGCCCAGATTTTAAGATGTAATCTGTAGTACTGGCTGAAGCAAACATGTAAATTGGATGTCATCATGAAAATAAGAAACAAGGAAATGTTAACTGTAAAATAACTGTTTTGAGGTAATTTGTTCCACTATTCTTATCAGGTCATTTTAGCATTTTCTACGTACTGTGTTTAAGACAAGTAAAGACTCATACTTTTAAAGTGGTATCACTGAACTGAAGCATTTTTTTGTATGCTTTGGGTTGCAAATTTAAATGACATTTCAATTCATCTGTCCTATCTCTTTGATATGGGAAAGGATGAACACTTCTGTCTCTGGCAATGGAAAAAGTGCATACTTCTTGGAAATGGGATATTTTTACTGCTATGCAGCTAGAAGATCAAAGCAGGATGGGAGCTGTAGTTTTGTCTGCTGCCATGGACAAATGAGCCTCCATTTTGTTGTGAACTGCTCCCTGCAGTAACTTTGGGAAGAGTCTTGGTGGGAGCCTAGGAAAAGGAACTGCTTGATATTTAGCCCATCTGACTGTCCTGTATTGGCGTGAGACACTGAGATACTAGGGAGTTACATGCTTCAGAGGGAATGCTTCACCAGCATGGGGTATTAAAGTCCATTTTCTAGCAAAGAGTTTCTCTAGTTGCTCGGGAGCATTGATTGAATGATGTTGGAATACACTTTGCCTCAGGATGGCTAGAAATGCACAGGTAAACCAAAGTGCTTCTGAGAGTTTGAGTCAGGGACAGATTTTTCCAGAAGAAGTTGAAATTAGTGAGGAATATGAGATGCTGCACAATGACCGGAGCCTCTTCATCTTCCACTTTTCATGGATATTCCTTTTTTTTTTATATTAAGATTTCTTTTTTTCTTTTTTTTTTTCTCCTTTGAGTCTTCATGTGAAGGTGTTGCTTCTCTTTAAGTCTTTTCCCCACTCCTTCCTGACCTCTCATGCTTCCTTCTGGGTTATGGATTCCACAGTTAATCCTGAGGCCACCCATTCTTCTTTAGAACTAAACCAGGATTTGTTCTGTCACTAAACTCTTCTTATCTTCAAGCCTCGAAATCATTTCCCATATAGAGAAGTGGCTTACAAAGATGCTTCAGAAAAAGTGGAAAAATAATGAATCAAAATTTTGCTTTCCATCTGACCAGCTTCTGGGAATCAAAAGCTCTTTGAGAAATTCAGGGTAAAACATCATTAAACAAGACACTAGTGATATACCATTTGATCTGCTCCACTAAAAGAGAGTCTGTGAACCATCCTGACCTCTAATGTCTCCTTTGTATAACCCCTGTGACACAAGATTTGCTAGAAGTAATGGAAGAAGATTAATAATTAATACATTTTCTGGTGTCTGAAATAGCGGCACAAGGTTGGCTTTCGGCACATGTTTTATTAATGAGGTTGAAAACAATTGCTTTCTCCCAGCAACAGATAGCTCAGGCTTTGATACTGAAGAAATCGGAGTGGAAGCAATATCAGTTTTTTGGAGGTGGGTTATTTATTTATTTATTTGTTGTTTTCTTTAGCTGTGTTTCCCCAGGGCATCAAAGCAGTCACCACACGTAAGAGGTGCAGAAAAGGTTGTGAAGCTGTGAGGAAGTGAAATGGGGAGCAAGGCTGAAATAAGATGTAAACCGGCTCAAGACAGCATACGTGCTCTGTCCAACTGAGCTGAAATACAACACACTGCAGAGCCTAGCAGCATCATTTTGCATGCTGTGTAAGGGGAGAGAGTTTTACTCTGTTAAAATAACAAAACGTCAGTGTGGCAATTAGGGGAATAATGTTTTGTACCCTTCCTTGTGGACCTCCTCATGCTAACTAACTTTCAGACACATTCCCCCCACACAACCATTCTTACCTGCAATGCAGCACAGAAACCAGTCTTTAAAAAGTGGAAACACCTCTACTAAGTGAAAATAACTGCATTCATCTTTCTTTAGCTTTCAATTTTCTAAAAGTTACTCTTGTTCCTGAGGGCTAGCAGCCATCAGATGTCTGGTTTTGTTAATAACATTTACTAGAAATGATTTTTTTAAAGAATAAGCACTGCTGAACTAGGCCAAACCTTTTGAACAGAATCATCAACGATTCTTCAATTATCCAATATATTACCATTCATGCACATAATTAATAATGCTCTAATAAATATGATCTTCCCAACTTACATGCAAATTGAAGCTTTGCCTTCCTGCTCAGAATTGTTCCAAATGAATTTGTGGCCAAACACTGGTATGTTCCAATATCCTGTTTTTTACGTGGGTTATTGATTGCCAAGCTGCCTCCAACCAACCTGTAGTGATAACTCATGGTAAGATCAATATCTGTGCCATTTTGCTTCCACCTTTGAGGGGAAAAAAATCAAATTATGCTTATAATTTACAGAGCCTATTCATATTTATCTTAAGTAGCGTGCTGTAGCACACCTGTAATGATAAAAATGTGGTTAAATATCAGAAAATTATATCACTTTTCACACAAGACTGCTGCTTATATCAATCTTGATCATGTCAATAATTCTGTCCTTTGAGAAAAAATCTTTACTGCTTTTGTGCTCGTCACCAGTGTTCATCCAAATGTCTACAAAAAGTAATTATAGCTCAATTATAGAAACTAAGTTACCCATCAGACTGATATTATGGCATGTTCCTTCACTGAAACTACCATATTTTTTAGGACATAAACGGTATCCAAATATGATTTATGGGCTTTACAAATGATGTCATAAATTTGGTTACAAAAACGATGTGATGATATAAGTCAGGAAGGATTACACTTCAGAGGACAGAGGAAAACAAGCAGAAGTCTTCTTGCTGCAAATTTAAGATGGATATTTTAATGATGATTACAAAACTTGATTTGTCTCAGCGTTAAGTAGAAAATGGATGATGTCTGCAACATTACAAATGTAAAAATGATATTTATATTACAAAGAAAATAATTATTATCTGTTTTAATTTGGAAAAAAGTGTGGATTTACCATTATTTATGTAAGGGCTGAACTCTCCTTGCTCATGTGAGACCTAAAGGAAAAATAAAGGTCCTCAGTCACCAATGTCTGCAAGCTTTGAGCATGTTTGTGCCACGTTTTATGTTGTGAGCAGCCCTAATGCTCCATAACCAACTATTTTTTTCTCCTAATTTGATACCATGTCTTCAGCCCATGTCAGTGCTGTTGGCCTATAAGAGTGTGATGCTGACCCCTGTGTAGGATGCAAAGACCATAGAAGAGTCCACAAATGAATTGTCTCCTTGTTAGCTGTTAGAAGCTGTTAGAAGGATCACAGTGGAAAAAATGTGTGTTTATTTCTTTTTCTTATAGACTTATAGACAGAGAGGGAAGCATGGCAGACTTGTTTGCACAGTTAACAATTTGAAGCAAACTCACATTATAACTGTAGTCCTGGAAGATGTGACCTGGGTGCACAGCACAGTGCTTTGCTCCTCACAATCAGAGACCTTTCTCAACACAGTCAGACTGTGCAGGTGGCCACTTCATGAGATGGAAAAGCAGTGCTGTGTTCCAAGGGAAATCTTGATGAACTTGTATAGAGGAAGAAAAGGCCTTGACCTTTGAAGTGGGCACTTGTTTCCAAAGACAAAAAAAATAACCGATTAAAATGGGAAATCAGTTGACTTCTGTTTACAAATTCTAACGAAACAAATTCTAAATGAACAAATTCCAATTAAACAAATTTTCCAGGTCTGCCAATTACTGCTTCCTCTTTCATGCATCCATTAAAGAAATTTAGAAGCAGCAGTGGAATATGGGCAATTCTTTCTACCAACTGCAGCTGATTTTTGACCCTTGTGCACCACTGCTCTATTCCTTTTTTTTGTTTGTTTTGTTTTTTGTTTTTTGTTAATGTTTTCCCCTACTTGGCCTGGATTCTTGTTGCTGTTTTGGTTTCTTTTATTTGTGTCTTTATTTGTGAAGAGAAAAATCTCAGCCGGTGCCCCTCTGTTATAAAGCAGTGGGTGGATTTTGCATCATTTCACAATTTGCATACAATGCATGCTCTCTCTGTTTTCAGTTCTCTAAGATGGGATATTCTGGTATTTAGTTTGCCATTTCTCTTTAATTTCTGAATCAATCACTGAAATAACTGCTGTCATCATTACATGGTTCCCAATTAAGCTCTATAATTGTTTTTCAAAACACATGCAAAGTTGTTGGCTTAGTTGTCGCAAATGAATTCTTCACAGTATCCCAATAATCATTCTAATCACCATGGTACAATGATTATTAAACTGTGCATATAGATCAGGGGTTCATCTCCCGGAGTGGGCTTTTTCCTAATTAATATGTTTACATCACGAAAAGAACAGAATTAATGAATTCATGTGATAGGCAACGATTTAATGACTTTCTGCGTTCTGCAGTATGGGGTCTAAAGGACAGAAAAAAAAATTCTTTGAAGAATTATTTGAAGAGAATTTTAACAGGTTCACGTTAAGGCACAGGTTGCCCATGTATTTTCTGGAGATTCTTCATGCTACCATTGCAAAATTCTTTCAATCAATTACAGGAAATGCATCCTGGACCAATCGTTACAGAATCTAAACTTATTAAAATGTGCTCTCTTTTGAATTCAGTAGTTTGCTGGGAATGTATGACTTCTCAAATCCCATTAACACGTCCAGGTATTAAAAAACAGCAGTAAAAATATGCTCTATGTGTTTTATACATTAATAGAATTGATTGTCATGTTCTCTCTGTTTTAAAATCCCACTTTTTGAAACAGTCATAAAATGCTCCCAATAAATCCCTCACTGAATTAACTACTTCAGAAACATATAAATGGAACAACACCCCATTCATCCCATCTTGATTTAAGGACCTCAAGTGATAGTCTGATTTCTCTTGTTCTCCTTTCTTAAATTGTCCCATTATCAATTTATTCTGATATTTGAATGTACCACAATGCCAACATTCTTCAGAGTATGAAATCTGCTTCAGTGAGATAAACTTGGTAACCTATGATCTTTGTTATTTTAGTTGTAAAAAAAAATGTTTTTTGACATGAGATTATGTTTTCTGAGCAATACAATTCTATGCAATGGAAATGAAATTCTGTGTAAGGAAAATGAAATTTCAAGGTGCATCAGTTTTGGTAAAACAATCAATGTGGGCTTGTTGAAGCAATTAAGGAATTGGTATAAGATTCTTTTTAGATAATGTGCAAAGATTCAAATGTACTCTTTCATTAATCTGCTTTTCTTGTCTTTCAAGAAAGGCACATAGACAGGACTATAAGATATCATAAAGATAGGACTATAAGAATTGGCTGCTGAAAGAGAAATGCTTTCTCCAGCTCTGCATGTAAGATTCTAGATGTTTTGCAAAGCATGCATGGCCATGCCATGATTTTGTACCAATCACAGCTGGAACTCTTCTTATTTGCACCTTTCCCTAATTTTGAACTGCCTTCTCCCTGATATAAAGAAGATATTTTTCTTTCTCACAGTTCTCACAAACAGAAGCCATTGGAAAGAAGAAACATTGTTTTCATCCATTTAAAAACAAAACAAAACAAAACAGAGCAATGTGTGAACCATCACATATTTCTTCTAATCATTACATCTCCACCGCTGTTTTGTGCAGATCAACAAAAACAGATATCTAAATCAGATTTTTATTGAGGTGGAAATACTCCTTTGATAGAGTAATCTCTACGGGGATTGTTAAGTCAGATCCCTCAAATTATTATTTTAATGCTTGGTGGAGCTCTGCTTTGAGGAAGATATATTTACCTTAGGCTGATTGACATTTGGGAGGCATAGCTTATTCTCTCCCTAGGAACAATAGAAAGATCATTTCTGACCTGATCATTTCAAACAGAATTATTTTTGGTAAAAATAAGGGAGAGGAAAGCACATCAGAGGCTTTTGGAAATCAAGAAGGATTGTTGAGAGTAGTACTTAATAAAGGAAAATCCTTCTATGTGGGCTTAAAAGACTCTGCTTGTTTTCCTTTGTTTTTCCAACTGAAGAGAGGTTCTATAGTAAGCAGTAGTAGACAACAAAAAGTAGACAACAACCAAGATCCCCAAAGTATGAGAATCTTGTCTTCAAAAGGGGGACATGGAATGGGATAGAATCAATCTCTAGACTGATTTACTGCTCCACTTACTCTGCCCTCTGTTCTTACAGAACTTCAAAATACCTGAATTTTAGAATCAATGGTACTTCCATTCATTTCAATGAGCTTTGGGTAAGGTTGCAAGCTCCCTGTGCTTATCTCTACCCTGCTCTATTTAATCCAGTCTTTGCCTGTCCTGAAGCCTTAGCAGCATCTTCTCCTAGAGTCACAAAGGCTATTTGGGACTTCAGATTTATCCCCACTTCTGAGTTATTTCCCTCTATTACCACTTGACTCATTACTGAGTGGATGTGCATTTCTCAACTGAGAACTAGTGAGAACAATTAAGTAATCAATGTAAAAATAAATCGACAGTACCCAATTTTAGTTTGCATAAAATAATGTAAAAATGAAATAAAAACAGCATGGACATATGCATGCGTGATTCTTCTAATAATCTTTTCAGGATACTGTTGTAACAAAAGTACTTATTTTTTAAGTATTCATTAAGTGTTCTATGTTCCCGAAGTTAATTCCATTCTAACAGAAAGCGCCTTGCCAAGTCTCCTGAAAAGTAGTTGGATTTTTATATTGTTTCCATAGAGGCCAAATACATAATACACAGTTTAAAAACTATTGGCTGAATCAGAAAATAGAGGTTGTGAAAATTTTTAGTTCTACTTCAGTGCTGAAGCAGACTCTACAATGAGTCAAGGGACATTTGGCTCAACAAGCACAACCACAGGGTTGGCATTGGTTCTTCAAGATTATGAGTAAGATAAAAATAAACCCAGAGTTAGTAGGAATAACTCTACAATCCTATGCAATTTTTACAAATACCTTTTATGATATTTGCAATCACTGTAGTCTTTCTGCTATGTCTTCTTTGCTTTTATTTGACCGTTACAGTTCTGTTGTGGGGCGCTTTGACTTGGATTGAATTTGAAACTCTTTATCTTATTTTACTGCCTCATTCAAAGTTACGCTTAAATATTGAAGTATTGTTCCATAATTAATCCAAGCCGTCCTTGGATTTTTTATTTTCTTGAACAACTGATTGCTCTCTGTGCAGATCTGGAGGAGGAAAACCCAAAAACTTGGTTTCAAACTTTTGTGAAAATATTAGTTTACGTTACTCAGAACCTGAACTCAGTTACTTCTGAACCTAAGTTCAGAAAAAACGTGATGAGTTAGAACTAATCACCTGAACACTAACAGGAAATGTCAAAATATTGCAGAAAAC